TAATATATATAATATAACGTATTAATCATACGTTTTACATTTTTTTGCAGCTTTTCTTTAGAAGAACAATAAGTGCAAATGGGAGAATAAATATTTGCACCAAGAAATTTGTTAGCCGGTTTTGAAACCACACTGAAAAGTGGCAGAAAGGCTAATGGCTCTATTACAACTTTCATGAACCAGAGGAAAGCAATGTGCTTGGGAGTATTGTGTAATGGTATAAGACATGTTTGTCTGGACCTCAGAGTGTGTCAGACTGCAAGTGATTTTCATTATCTGAAGTTGATAAGTACTGCTATAAAATCACATTAACCTACGATTGTACAAACATACCTGAGTTTAAAGCACAATCAATATAGGATGCTTGGAAATTAGAGCGGCACCTTTGAAAATGATAAGGGGAGTTGGATTTGAGTTGAAGTCCCTGTTAGGAAATGAGGGTCTGGCAGGATTTGGCTCAAGGGCCACAGGCCAGATGTGATGCCAGGTGAAACCTGGAAGGAAACTTTCACCCATCCCTGCCCTTGTGGCTCAGGAGCCAAAAGGAACTGCACAGCAAGGGTACCTTAACCCTTGAGGAGGCGGAATGGGGCAGTTAGCATGCCTGAGGGACAGGATGCCATCCAGAGGGACCTGGACAAGCTCAAGAAGTGGGTCCATGTGAACACCTTTCCTGTAAAGAAAGGCTGAGACAGCTGGGGTTGTTCAGCCTGGAGAAGAGAAGGCTGTGGGGACACCTTATTGCGGCCTTTCAGTACTTGAAGGGGGCTTTATAAGAAAGATGGGGACAAACATTTTAGCAGGCTCTGTCGTGGTAGGAGAAGGGGTAATGGTTTTAAACTAAAGGAGGGTAGATTTAGATTAGATATATAAAGAAGAAATTTTTTTACAATGCCAGTGGTGAAACACTGGCACAGGTTGCCCAGAGAGGTGGTAGATGCCCCATCCCTGGCAACATTCAAGGTCAGGTTGGACGGGGCTCTGAGCAACCTGATCCGGTTGAAGATGTCCTTGCTCATTGCAGGGGGGGCTGGACTAGATGACCTTTAAAGGTCCCTTCCAGCCCAAACATTTCTATGATTCTATAATTATGATAGTAAAGACCGTAGTGTCTTTTAATTTAACCACCTTCTGTAGATAATGGAGGACAACTGCAGAGTATACAGAAAAATAGCTTCATCTGGTTCATGAGGTTTTTTTCTGTCTTCCACTAGAATGCTATGTTGCTATTAAGAACTATTAAAGAAAGGAGATATTGTCTTGCTTTCTATTTGTTATAAACACAAAAACATCTTTCTTTTTTTCTGTGTTTTTCAGCTGAGCTGTACCAAGTGACATGTCAGAGATATCTAGTGACCCCCACTTGGATGCTTCACACATAATGTAAGTCAGTGAAGCAAGATGGCAGTAGCGTTTATGAGCACTGTTCATACTGTATGCAGGTAAAATTAAGACTTTCTGCTCTAAAATGCTGCTCATAACTCCAAAGAAAAAAAAGTCACATTGAAGTTTGCTATCCCAGGTATCCATATCTTGCTGAATTCTTTGTTTCCTGTTTTTAAAGCTCAGAAAAAATAATCTCAGTCCTTCTCTGAGAAGGGGAGACACTAGGTCCCATATGCTCTGTGCTCTTCTTGATATTCCCAGGCATAAGGAAGCTGTTTGGGACAGCCTGACAACGATTTGGAAGAGAAAAGGAAATGCAGAAAGCACAGGACAAGGTGGTAGCAAGGTAGGATGGAAACAACAGCACAGCACAAAACCAATGGAAACAGAAAACACAGGTGTGTTTGGGGCCATTTAAATACAAACTGAGAGAATAAGAAAAGAATTTTCAAGGTCATCTGAGGTGTGACTAGCACTATGAAGGGAAAAAAAACTGCCACAACTTTCAGGAGGTTAAGTATACAAAGGAAAGGCTAATAAACAGGCTCATGAAGGAACACACACCCACTTTCATAAACTGAAATTCAACTCTAGTGTCTATATTTCTTGAAGTAGCCAAGAAAGCAGTGTTAACCAACTGTTGTCCTGTTTTGCATTTACCTACCTACACTGTGAAACACTGAACCTACTCAGAATATCCTTCATTTGCCTCACTGGCACTGAAATTATAAAACCTCTTAACGATAGATGTGGAAACACAGAAGAAAAGTTGCCTCAATGCTCAAAAATGGTTTGTCAAGGATCTGTATCCTTGAATCTTGCTGAGCTTCTGTGACATGCGGCTCAAAGCAAGATCAGAAAATAGTTTACAAGTTATGATAGTTACACAGAATATTCTATTAGGCAATCATAAACAAGCATAGTAGGAATGTAAGTATTTTTAAATATCTATTTTAGCTTGCTCCATCTTATCAATATGCTGATGAAAATCAAGAGAAGAAAAGTTTAGAATCTGGCAAATCTACATCAGTTCTTCTCAGGAGTCTATCACACAAGAAAGCTTCTGCTTCCCTCCAGGTTTCCCAGGCCATCAGCCGGAATGTGAAACCCACTAATGGAGGCCAAGCCTCATCCTCTTCTCACACTTGCCCAACCTGTGGTTTCTTCCAGATGCAGCTGAAGTGCTAAAGTTCTCACCACAGATGCAAATTCCCAGGTTCTGCCAGTGACCTTTTCTAGGGCTCATCTGGACCCCAGGTAATGGATTGTCTCTTGTTCTCTGGGTTGTTTGGTGTCCCCCCTCCCGCCCCC